TTTCTGTGTATATGACCGATTTCTATTGAGGCAGGCTTGACCCAACTCTGAGACGTGGGTTAAAATCCCAGGCTGTGTGCTGCACTTATTGTAAATCACACTCATGTCTAAAATGATTCGGTAGCACGTTGTGTGTTGTGGTAACACTAGTTTAATTATTTAAGGCACAATCTACCATCAAACAATTTTTCCACATTAATAACATTGCCCTGAAATACGTTTGTCACTGAATATGATTAAAATAAAATATTAATACTAGGGCAAAATTACACCTTATATTATAAATCCTTATCTACTTTTCTTACAATACAATGTATTGATATTGCAGTGGTTCAGTTTGTAGTCATTACAAAATAAATATATTAGAATTTAATATTTTATTTGTGCCAATATCATCTCGTGTCAATATTGTCTCATGCATAATTGCAGGTCTATCATCAGAGGATCTTCAATGTATAATCTGATATACATAACACATTATCACAGTCTTATAGAATTCAGCCAAGATTTTATTGGGATCATCTCAACAATGCAACAAGTAATAATCTTAAAAGACAACTGTAATCACTGGCTTTATAAGATCCTCAATATACGCATACCTGTGACCGCAATAATTGAATTATGTATTAATGTGCCAGATTTTAAACCAATAAAAGAGTTATACTTAAGCCAGTTGTAAGTTAGTAATAAAATTACAGTAACACATACCCTGTCATAGCTTATTGCTTTGTTAGAAAATGGGTTTTATTAAATCAAGTCTCTTGCTGGACAGGAAAAACATGAACAGCATCTCACGACTAAAACTGTTTTGCGATTTTCTCCCTAGTTGAGTCTTGGCCAATTCCCAGCCATTAGTTAGGTCTCCCCTATCATACAACAACTACTGACCTGGGAGGTTGAAGGCTAACACATGCTTCCTCCGAGACACGTGAAGCCAGACAAGCGCATCTTTCCAAACTGCTGCTCATGCTGCATCACGTGGCAGTGTAACACACTCGAAGGCGAGCGCTATCCGTCCACTCCCACATGCATGAGCTCACAGTCTCCCGTGATTGTCCGTAGCTAAGCTGTGAATTCTAGATAATGTGAAAATGTTAAATAGTAAGTACTATGGACTGTTTCAGTATACTTTTTCGCACGTCTGTGTGGGCTGAGTGAAATGTGGCAGCGGGCCACATTTGTACACATGTATAATAGAAAATGATGGTTAATCCCTTGAAAGTTTTTAATAGTATTACAGTAAGAGTTTGTTCAAGTCCTCAGAAGATCCTTACAGTGATTAACAAGGTCGAGGCTGCCATTAGCACAAAAACCCCAAAGCTCTTTTACTATAAAATGAATGACTGCAACTTTTAAAAGCCTAAATGTGGGTGATAAATTATCCCAACTCTTGTTATCAGAGTGTTTACTTTTTTCTTTACTTGTAGGTATATCTGCCTGACTCCCTACCTTCATATAATAGGTAGTGGTTGTTAATAGGCTTGATATCCAACTGTGATTGTATGAGGTCATCATGGAACAGCACTTGTGGTTGCTTTGAGGAAGTTACCTAATTCCTCTTCCAGTACAGCTCTCCTGCCAAATCTGTTTCCAAGCAGTGTGTGGTCTGCTAAAGGGAAAGGCTTTGGCTCAGAGAGCAGCAAGCCTTTTGAGGTTGAAAGTAAAGTAATTCTGCCCACTTAACAATGACTTTCAGCATGTCATAAAATATTTCACAATTATCAACAGCGTATTCTCTTTAGGAAAAACAAATAACTCAAAAGGGGTTTATTTTAATATAATCTTTTATATTTTCTGGTATTCAGACACACAGTCCTTTCAGTGTTGGTTATGTGAACACATTTGTTTTGGAGTATGTGTTTTTGAAGGAGTATTAATTAAAGAAGATAAACATTAAAGATAATAATATTTTTTTCTGCGATTATATGTATTATGTACCTTGTTTGTTTATATATATATATATATATATATATATATATATATATATATATATATATATA